TAATAAGACATTAGAATCCAAGTAAAAAATAGTTACTATAAAATATTTATATTCATCATAAATATATATATATATATTACATAAAATATTTATATAACATTTCAAAAAATGAATAGTAATAAATATTTATCATAAATATTCTGTGTTGTCTGGGTATGCGACAATTTAATATCCCTCTCGAGGAGCAGAAGACGCACTTTTTATGGAAATCACGAATAGTATCCCTTCTATAGCTCAGTCAGAAATAGTTTCTTGAAAAGACATTTTTTAATATTTTTAGTGTAAATCTGTGATACATCTTATACCATCAAGGCACTAATTTCTGGTCAGTCCCTAATTTCTGATCAGTTTAGTGAATAAATTATTTTATTGCATTTGCTGTCACAAATATTCATTTTCAAAAAAATATTTATAATAAAAACTGAACATAGAGAATTACTAAGTGTAAATATGAAAGTTTCAATTGAACGCATTTTTATGACAATAAATTTATCAAGATAAACGTTTGGGCGAGACGCCTGTGCCGCCATCTGTTACGGTCGGGCGTAAGCAACGTCCCGTGTTTCATCAGGTTGGTTATTTGCACGTATTTAACGAAATAAAGGTAATAATGAAGGTAATAATACATATTTCGTTCAGAGAAAAGTTTATTAATAGATGTCATGAAGAAAAAGAATATTTTGCAATGTTTAACTCGAAAAAGATCTATCTATAGATCATCACGAATCTATAGATCTATAGACCATCACGGATCTATCTATAGATAGATTTTTAAAGATATACTTTATTATTCTGTTAATAATTTGATTTTAATTAAAGGCATATGTAGAATAAATATTCTTATATAATTTTCGTTTCTATGTAATAAAATATAATAGGGAGTGATACTAAAAATATTCTTCGATCTATAATGTCCGTTTCTACCAATGCAGTAGTTTAATTTTAATCTTGGTTTATACCAATCATGGCTCTGTAAAATAACTGTTACGATTTATTTAAAATAAAAAATATAAAATAGATTCGGGAAACTTATTTAAAACACTAAATATGAAATATTGTTGAAATTTAAGAGTAGCACGAATATAGGTATTCAAATATAAGCGAGAATTATTAAAGCAAGATTGTTGGACCAATCAAAATGCGGCTTTCTGATGTCGCGACTTTGATTAGAGAGTCTCTAGGCCGGTGTAGTATGAATTTGCACTCATTTTATTTCTAAGAAACAAAATGGAAGCGCACAATTTATCTCCGAGATCGGTTTCTTTCATCAGGACATAACGTAAAATGATCTATTTGATAGCGATATTTCTTGTAAATTCTATATTCGATTAAATTTGTTTAAAAAAAAAACGAAAGCAATGGATGATAAGCGCGTCTCTTCGACGGAAATAGCGTCTGTCGTCTTGAACGATGCGCCTCAAGATTCAAAATTTCCAAACTACAAAATTCACAAATGTCACTCGGAGAAATGTGACAACACGCGGAATGAAGAAAGTATACAAGACGTGATCGATCGCGAAAATGTACCCTCGATTTATATCGAGACGTCGGACGAGGACGACGTATCCGAGAGATTTTCGGGTGATGTCGAACGAACGGAAACCCAACTTTCATTCACGACAAATCTAAGATCATCCGTCGGCTGTGGAAGAGAATTCGCGTATTGTATTCTTGCTGTGAATTATAATTTTTGAAAGAGAAATATTTTGAAAACAATCTATTTTCTATCTCTTAACAAAAATTACGGGGACAATTTTACTTACTATATGTGAAAATATTTCGTAAAAGCGAAAAAAGAGATGTTTGCTAATTATGTTTCGTATAATATAAAGAAATAATAAGACATTGAACTAATTAATCATTAATATTCATAATATTTAAAAGAAAAGTCTTACTTCATAATTGTTTTGCTCAGAATTAACAAAAATATATCAATTATATATACTGTCGCTGTGCCATCTTCTTAATTCGAAAATTAGCAATGTAATAGTAGTATAAACATTTGTGTGTAAACTATATTAAAATATCTTTTTTAATAAAGAATAACATTTGCAGTTGATAGAATAAATTCGTGAAATATATCGAAAATTTCCCTTGTGTTCTGATAATCAATAAATATATTTGAAACTGAATTATGTCTAACCAGATTACAAAACAAAGACAACTGTCGAATTGAAATGAATATTATTTTATTCTATTTTCAAATAAAAAGAGTTTTCGGTATATTTCACAATGTATATGTATCAAATGCAAATTTTGTTTTATTAAAAAATATTTCTATTTTACGTCATCAATCTGAAGATTCACACCGATTAGGAACCTTAATTAAATTAATTAAATTTTTTCAACAATTTCATATTTAACAATATTATTAAATATGTGTATCATTATAAATACTATAAACAAAAAATACAATTTATGCGATAAAAAATACTCGAATAAGAGTATAAAAATGTCAAGGTTTCTTTATGATTTTAACTCTTTCTTAATCGAAATAAAATTATTTATCAGAAAGAAAATTACTTCATTTAGGTCTATCCTTCACGAACGTGCTCAGAAGCTCTGGTCGGAGATGATGAGCCTTCGGGAAAAACTGAACAAAGAAATGGCTCTTTGGAAAAAGGAGAAAGAGGAATTTCAGTTTTTACGCGAAAGAAGCGATGCTCTTGCGTTTGAAGAAGCAACAGCCGCTGCGCGTGTCGCAGCCGCGGCTTATGCTGTTGAATCGCCACTCTCAAGCGATTTAGGTAATGATTAGCAATTATCAATCAGTAATTTGTACTCTTTGATTCATTTCTTATAAAACGAGTGAATTAAAAGAGTAAAAATATATTTTGGAAAATTATAAATAATTCATTCTTATTAAATGAATGAACCTCTTAGACACACAACGTTAGATTCTTAAATAAGTTTTTAGAGTAATGAATTTATTTTAATATTATTAAGACTCTTGTTTATTCACTATTGCTATCTTAGATATTTTTATATTAAAATATTTTTTATAAGAATTTTTATTACTTATTCTTTCGTTGCTAATGTCACAATCTGAATGGAGAACAGAGGTTTAAGTCTATCTGCTTTTTTATTTCCTTATCCACTTGATTTAATCTCCACATTGGAAAAAAGTATATTAAATTAATTTTAATAAATATTTATTTAAATATTTTTTATTTGAATTGCCAATTATTAAATATTTACTAAAAAGAAAATGATAGTTAAGGGATAACACCTACGTAATCGGCTGTAAATAAGATCTATATTTGGGAATTTTTTTTTAATGAATCGTGCTATTAAAAAATGAATTTTATAACTTTATTAAGCACATAAAAAAGTACAAAAAATAATTTTTTCAAAATTTTATTTATCAAAATGGCGGATCTGCAGCGTGATGGAGACAGTCGAAATAGCATGGTGTTCCGCGGCTAACAGCACAAGTGTCGTAATTTTTGGTTTAGAACAAAAAAACAAATATTTTTATTTTCTTTACTCAAATATCTACAGAAATACGTAGCCGTTTTTTTAAATATTGATTTTTGACGAAATGGCGGAAGTACAAACAAAAAGTTCCATTTTCGTCAAAAAATAGTCGAGTAAAATCAGCTGTAACTTAAAAAATTTTTAACTTATAAAAAAAATTCTACGTATTTCTTTAGTGTAGGATTTATTAGATTTATTTATTCTGTACGTCTCCCACAGGGAGTCTACATTAGACGATGGCGTAGCTTAGACTAACTGGTCGGCATTATTAAATACTGTGAAAATTTGAAGTAAATAGGTTAAAAATTATTTGAGTTCTACTGCTAGAGCCAATTTAAAAAATACTGTTTTGAGAAAACGCGTTTCAAGTTTTGAATGTGAATACTTTTAAGTTAACAATTGAATTTTTAGGAGCCTGTAACTTTCGAAAAAAAATTATGTATCACAATAAAACCACTTACACTTTATTTTTGAGATCCTAAAGTGTATTTTAAAAGGAAAAAAAATCGATTTTTTGAAAATTTTACATAGGTGTTACCCCTTAACTTGATTAATAAATATATTTTATATCTTATTTATATTTAGTAAATATTTAGTTAGTACTATTCTCAAACAAATAATTTATTAAGATTTAGTATATATTTTTAGTGCACCCGTTTAAAATTTATAATAACGTTTATGCGATGAATTTGTAGGTAACATCGTCGACTTTATGTCGGAACCGAATATCAGGGAACTCACGATACTTGAGTACGAGAAAAATCTCGCCAAATACCATGATCAACACTCCTTCGAGCAAGCTGAGCAACGTTACAACTCGTACAAACGCGCGCTTGTCGACGCCTACAAGCAGAAGTTGTCGGAGGTCGAGCGTCTCTGCGACGAGGAATTGGAGAACATACAGCAAAACGCAAGCTGCTTGCAGCCGTTCAAGGAGATTGCGTCGCAATGGTCCATCGATGAGAACGATCACGGTGATTCGCAGCACGATTGCGACAATCAATCCGAATTCACGGAGCCATCCAAAATCATCGAGACCAGTCCAGGCAACGACTGGTGCATATATGGAAAGATCGACAATGAGGTCAACATGATCCCGGAAATTCTGTCTGTCCGTTTCAAACAGGACGAAACAACATAAGAGCCATTCTGCTCTCTACTTTTATTAATGATTATTATTGTTAATATTATTTTATAATTATACACTGTACAACTTTATTTTATGTTCTTTATAATAGAATAAATTAAATCTCTCCTTTTTTTCTGTAGTCGAACAACGGCGACATCATAAATAGCATGGCAATTTGTTCTGACAGCAATTGAAGTCAATTAAACTTAATTTTTATGTACTCATATATTTGAGTCATATATATTATATATACATATAAAAATAGTATGCATATATTAAGTACTTTTAATCTGAATTTTATATTTTAGAATTTTTTCAGGACTATATCATTATATTTGTCTTAATAAATAATATCCAAATTCTGTCGCGACACATAATATTATAAATAAAAAAATGGATCTTTGGAAGATTTTTTGTTTAAATATTTCTTTATACAATTTGCAGGATAAAACAATTAAGAGAACTATTCTTCTTTGGCTTTATCATCGCAAACTGAAATCAGAAATATTTAAATTATACAAATAAATTTAATCGATTTTTTATGAAGTGTATCATTATAATGAACCCAGTGAGAAATGACAATGGAATCGACGTTGATTCCACTGTCATTTCTAACTGGGGAATGGCCTGAGCAGAAGGATTGTCTGTTAACTGTTTCCAACAAAGTCGTAAGTCATCGCACAAGGATCGATGTAAACGTATATGTCTTACGATTCTGTCGGATATAGTTACAATAATCCCTGCTCAGGCCCTTATGTTGTATTAATTTATCTATGATCGAGAAACATCGATATTAATTACCATCGTGCACTTTCCACGATCGACAAACATCATTTTGTTTAGTGTGGAGATACAGGTCTTCGATGTGAGACTTAGTTTTCTCCAATAAAATTTTACTCGATTCAATACGCTTTGCTACAGAAGCCAATTGCATCTAAACAAATAATAATAATAATCAATTCCAAATAAATTAAATAATTTTAAACTAAATTAATTAAACAATATTATTTTAGACCGTTTATGTGAGAACACAATCAATATTTAAAATGCCTATAATAGTCGAAGCTGAATCTTTAATGCTTAAATAATTAAATCTTGATTTACTAAATATACTATATATATGCAATTGCATATATAGTATATTTAGTAAATCAAAATTTAATTATTTAAGCATTAAAGATCCAGCTTCGATCGTTATAGGCATTTTTAATATTGATTAAATTAATTAACCAATATGTCCATACAACTACAGGGTGGGCCATCTAACGTTTTCAATTTCATTTAGCTGTAAAAATAAAACGCATTGGTATTTAAAAAAATTTTTTTTTGTATTCAAAAGAGTGCACTTTGACATTTAAGAATGGAACACAATTTCATTTAAATGACTTCCACGACTGGCCTTACAGTAGCCCATACGATGAACCCAATTTTGAAGTACTTTTTCGATTGTATGAGCTTGAATTTCATGAATGGCAACTTCAATCTCGTGTTTCAAGGCATCAATTGTCTCTGGATGATTAGCGTAACATTTATCTTTAACGGCACCCCACAAAAAATAATCCAATGGAGTCAAGTCACAGCTTCTAGGCGGCCAATTGACATCAGCATTTCGGCTGATTATTCGATTTTCGAAAACACCGCGCAAAAGATCGATTGTAACGTTGGCTGTGTGGCTCGTAGCGCCATCCTGTTGAAACCAAATGTCATCTGTGTCATCATCTTCAATTTCGGTAAACAAAAAATTGGCTAACATAGAGCGGTAACGCTCGCCATTGACTGTAACGGCGACTCCTTGCTGATTTTCGAAGAAAAATGGTCCAATGATGCCTCCAGACCACAATCCGCACCAAACGGTCACTCGTTGAGGATGCATTGGCTTCTCCATGGCGACGTGTGGATTTTCTGAGCCCCAGATCCGACAATTTTGTTTATTAACATAACCTCCGATGTGAAAATGAGCTTCATCTGAAAAGATGATTTTTCGGTAAAAATGCCCATCTTCGGCTAAACGATCTTCAACCCATTGGGCGAACCGGAAACGCAACGGATGGTCATGAGGCTTCAGTTCTTGGACTAATTGAACTTTGTAAGCCTTCATACCGAGGTCTTTATGCAAAATTCTCCTCAAAGAAGTGCGAGAAATGTTCAATTCTTGAGAACGATGACGAGTTGATGTTGATGGTTGTTCACTAACACTCTGAGCAACAGTGGCAATGTTTTCAGCTGTCCGCACTGTAGGAGCACGAGAACGTGTTGTTTTATCCAACAACGATCCAGTTTCACGAACTCGCTTCACAAATTGATTCACATACTGACTTGAAGGCACGTTTTGTTTACCAAAAATTTTTTGTAATTTTCTTACAGTTTCAGTAGAAGACTCACTATTTTGGAAATATGTTTTCAATATTTCCCACTTTTGTTCAAGCGAAAAGCGACTCATTTTGTAAATGTCAAACATAAAACTAACTTTCTCTCATAACACGGATGATGTAAGTGTTGCCAAAATCAAAGTAATCGGTAGTTGAAATTGAAAACGTTAGATGGCCCACCCTGTATTTTGTGTTTCACGATTTTAAATCATTTTGCACTTACATCGATTTCCGTAGGCTTCGTTGACAACTGTTTATTATTCGTGAATTCGTCAGAGATGCTCGCCAAAAATGAAAACGGTTGTTGCGGGTTTTCCATAATTCTGCGTAGAGAGGCTTGCAATTCCTCGAATGACATTTCATCAACATTATATAGAGAAACTGTCTTTTTCAACTTGGAATCACGTTCCGTGATTTCTTTTCGAATTGTAGAGTTTTGATTTAATTTACTGACGATATTTCGCTTTGTACTTTCATGAATTGATAATTTATCAATCATAGAGGGCAATACCTCAACAGGATCAATCTTTTTATCAAAGGTTCGACGATTTGCAGATCGTACAGGCGGCAAGATCGATGATCCAGATTTGACTCGAAGAATAACAATGAAATATTTTCATATTAATCATCTTTTACTTCCTAAGTCGAGAAATTTTGATGGATACAAATGTATATATTAGTATTAGCTTACCTTTAGAATTCTTCATGTCACCAAAGATTTCACGTATACTAAAACTATATGTATTTAAAAAAATTATGTGGCAGTTATGTAGATTTCTTCGCGAGAAATGAAGACCGAAGGCATTTTAGCGTTTCTCCTCAATACTTATTAAATTCGGTGAGCAAGTCTTATCAGATTTTGATTATTTTGAACAAACGATTAGTTGCAGTAACTGTATGTGTATGTCTTATTCTTGATGTTTGATCGATATCATTTGCATATAGAATAAGCGAGTGTTCCGCCGATAAGTGTTCCGTTGATCCAAAATTCTCTTTTCTTTTTAAATTTTTTTTACAAACATAATATATAATAAGAATAGATTGCGTATTTCTATAAAGTGGTTATTGTTTTAGAAATATTTTTCTACATCTATAGTTTTTTTATAATAAAATTTCGATATCAATTTTTTTATTTACTGTTCAATATATTTCTCATTTAATTATTTATCTTCATCGGAATTGATGAATATTTTAAAATATGATGCAAGAAATGAATGCGAAAGCACAAATTTACAAAATGATCTCTTCATTTTATTATAGGCAAGCTAGTACATACAATCGAAATAAGAAACGGATGAATTTATGAAGAACTTGTAACAAATCTGTTAGGCGTCGTTAGACACATTCATGGCTTTTAAGTCATCACTCGCGTACAAAGCTGATGTCACTTATACACTAAAGTAATATATATAAATTATCTACCAACAATATGTCATTATGTAATTAGAAGTACCTTATGAATAATAAAACTATCACAGTTCCTCCGTTTTTCTTTCGATATCTAAAAATCAGTTCCCTTAAAAAGCGAATTGTAATTAACAAACTTATATCTGCATTTAAAAAGAAAATAGATGATCGATCTCGATATTACTATCAATAGAAATTTCAATAATGAAAATTTTTGACACAAAATATAAATTTACAATTTTTCAATTATCGCATGTAATTCGTTCTTTTGCATTCCACATCCATTACAAAGAAACTGCAAAACTAGCTTTTTTACATGTGTATATAGTTCTTATACACACATACACACATTATATATATATATGTATATATTACTATATGTATAGGTAGTATATCACAGCTTAAAAGTAAATAAGTCTCGCATCTTCGGGATTCTGCTCCGCTGGGCAGTACGGGCATTTCAACCTGGAAATAAATTGATTTCTTTTAAAAAGTGACTTTAAATCAGCACTTAGAAACCATCAACGTACTCCAGCCTTGCCGCATATATAACACCTACTTATTTGCATTGGCAAGCTTGTTCAATGCGTCTCGAGAAATGACGTGACCGCAAACCAGTTTCATCGGCGGATTGTTCTCTGTGCTTTGTTGCCTAAGTATAGGACAGGCGAAAACTGAATGGTAACGGCTCTGTTTTCCCAGGTCTATTTCGATCTGCACGAAAGAGAACGATGTTTTGAATCTTTAATATTTATACACATATATTTAATTATATATACGACTTCGTGCCCTTGTACTTACAGGCAATTCATCTTTACCGTTCCAGATACCGGTAACTTGTCTCTGTTGCATGACTTGCTTAATGTTCAATAGTGCAGGTAGTGCAGTGCATCCTGCGTTGATACTGCAAATGAACAACAAATCATTGTTGATATTTTGCTAAATTCTTCTTAATTATGAACATATAAATCATATGTACCAAACAGATAATGGACTATCCACACTTAAGCCTAGTAATGTACATGCTTCTTTAGTAAAAACATCGTGTATCTCGAGCCATAAAGTTGGATCTAATAAATGACTATAGGGAGATGACTGGATCCCATGTGGCAAATAAAGTAATGTTCCCATTAAAGATTGCACTTCTTTTTCGTAACGTCCGACGAATTGCGTGAGATTTTGGCGGGCGTATAATATTGCTTCTCTCTGCTTACTAGGACCTTGTTGAACTAATCTTATAAAATGTAATCTGTGTAGCTTAAACTCGAGAGAAGAATTCTGAAAGGAAAATTTACAATATGTGTGTTACACACCAATAATATAAAGTAGACTATATACATTCACGAATCAGACATTACCTGTGCTAAAAGTGCTTCTCTGTGTTTTTTAGCCCACTCTAATGCCGGTTCGAGATTTCTCTGTTTTAGACAATCTAATATATAGTTCAATTCTGTGAATGGTTCCTTTCTACCTTCATCGGTTTTGATACCAGCTTCCTATAAATATTACCAGTTACATTATTATATGCAATTATATGAATACAAGAAACATGCACTTAAAGTAGTTTGACATTGCAGAATTGAAAATAAGCAAAGCGATTAACACATCAATTATACATCTATATTACATATATTAATTTGAATAATATTCAGATATATGCAATAATTTTGAATTAAGTAAAATAAATTAAATACAGATTTGATTAAAAGAAACTTACTACTGCTAATTCATCGGCAATATCTAACATCCCTTGACGATAAAAATGTTGACAGATTATTTGATTCAGAAGATGAGATTTCTCAGGTCCAGAAAATACATCTTCCCTGCTGGTACTAGCAAAATCAGCAATGAAATTTCTGTCTATTGCCTTGCCAACTTTGGACACTGTACTGTGCAGATCGCGATGATCTGTTGCTAATCTTTGTACAGTATCACGTACTTTCGTCATTGCTTGTTTTAACATTTGTACTTGAGCAGCTGTTAGTTCCTGATTAGGTGGTGCTAATAATAAAAGTATATTAAAATCAAAGTTGATTATACATTTGTTTTATAAAAGAATAAATATATAAATATTATATATTTACTAATTATATATATTCA